TAGCCCAACAGATTAGTAAGCTCAAGTGGCAATGGGCTGGCCATATAGTACTGTTAGGTTAGAACTGTTGAGGATGAACATTTATTATTTTTTAAAGTTTTTTTTTAATACTAGTAATGATATTAAATATTACTAATATTCCCTTTAACCACTTCTGGTAAGCTTAAAAAACTTGTGTTAGAAGCGGTTCACGACAGTAGTCGAATGGCGAATTCGAACCCACGATCTTTCGAGTTCACGGTCAGCAGCCTGCCATTAGGCTATTGACACTTCAAAAATTACATCACCCTTATACCCGGTGCTAAGATATATTGTATCAAAGAATAAAAGCTCCGATTTCGGAAGCTTTTATTTGAAAATCATTTTATTCTTTTAAGTTTTTGAGGTTCCCAGGTTTTCACTTTTTATTAATAGTTCAGTTCTTTTACCTTCTTATGTGGACTATGCCATATTACGAGCTCAAGGTAATAAGATAAGGTTATGTAAATAGTTACAATAAAAACTTCATCCCGTTTTAACATTCTTAGGCCCAAATACTCGAACGCTACTCAGTTTTAAGATGCCACGAGGCTTAGCGACATTTTAAAATTGTATGGCGTTCGAGTATATGGCCATTAGAGGTGAAATTTTTTCTTTAAATGTAAATTGGATTTCCCTTGAAGTATAGCCTATTGAAGAAAAAGAATGGTTGGAATCATTTCATCCCTCAGAGTAATGCGTATTTTCTACACTGCGTGGTTCAGCAGCATCCGAGAAAGTGGACATACGCGATATATAAAAATTAAACATAATCGTCGAACATTATATCCTCCACTTTTTATTTCGGTTAAAGAGTCACAATCTAAAATCAGATAGTTCTGAAACATATTTTAAAAAAAATTAATGAGGGAACACCTCACATTATTTTTTCAACTCTAAACGTGATTTAATATTATGTAGATTTTTATTGATTAAAAATAATAAACTTTCTAATTTTAATTTATTATTTATATTTTAATAAAATTAATAATATTTAATTATTATATTAATCTCGATACTTGCACGAACACACACACATAAAATTGTATATAAAAATAGAGAAAGAGTAAAACAGGGAAAGTTCGCCTGGAGGGGGTATAACGCTTATTCCTTGCCTGACGATTTCTGCCAGTACACTCTACAGTAGGCCGCGTAAAAGAAACTCGTCTCAACAAAGTATCTTTTAATTAAGTAGGTCTTTTTTATCTGAACCTCTTTTTATTGTGTAGTAGCTCTAATCAACTCAGGGGCTTCAAATCAACTGCATTTTGATTCTTAATCAATCATAGATACAAGTGTACATGGGCCACAGCCACAGAAATCTAAATAATATATATATATATATATATATATATATATATATATATATATATATATATATATATATATATATATATATATATATATATATATATATATATATATGACCTGGCATACGTTGTTCTGCTCTTTCTGACGACTCTTTGTCTAATAAAAAACACTTAACTTCGCAAAAAAAAATTGAGGGTCACTTATCGGGATAAAAACTATCCTATCTCTCAAGTTGGAGCAAACTGCACACAGTGTGCAAAATTTCATTGAAATAGCCGGTAACGTTGGTGCTGAACACATAGCTGACGTGAAGCACCAACGTTCCGGGAAGTATGCAGTTTGTGATTATATCCTAGACAGCCGTCGCCGGCGTTACATTAGATTTGATAAACCACAAATTCTCGCAAAAGAACATCGATTCCTGTCAAGGATGATACGTGAGGCTATTGAAATTAAAAAACATCCTAATTTCAATACAGAGGGAGGCTGGGTACTACCACCTGCTTGGGACCCTGTAATTAATAAAATTAAAACTAAACCCAAGCATACCACTGCAAGATTTCAAGACACAGTAAGTTCATACTGCGTAGATCGGACCAAAATTAATAATTAAAAAAGCTGAAGGTACTCCGGGTTAACTCTGATATCGGGACTTCAATCACCTCAGTCCCTCGTGACCACCGTCGGGAATTAATAAAAATAAAATAAATAAGTTAATTAAACGCGAAAAAATCCGTAAAAGTAGTTTTATTCAATAATATAACTTTGGTTCTAGAAATAAACAGTAACAAAAAATAAGAAGAAACTCATAAATCTTGGGTGTTCAAATTATCTGTTTCTAATTTATTCTGGTATTAAAAGAAACAAAACTGTGAATTATTACCAACTCTAAAGAATCGATATCGATTTTTCTTAAGAATTGAATATTGTACGTACCGATTTTCTGTTGGCATGCCTAGTCCAATAAGTCTGACAGCTGTAAAAAGGTATTTATTATATTTGGTTGAGTATAAAGCTTATTATTGTATAATCTCTACATATAAAAATCAATTCCTATGCCTTAGTCTCGCAAAAACTTGAAAATAACTAGACAGATTTTGATGAATTTTTTGTGTGTATTTGAGTGGGTCCCTGGATGATCTAAGCGATTCACAACCCGATACTCGGTAGATGGCGCTGTTGTCGAGATCCGGAAATCATCCGTGCGAAGCTGGGGTGGATGACTAGTTTTAAAAAAGAAACGATATTACAGTTCACCAATTAATAAGCGACTACTGACTCCCATGAAAACCTGTATGCTTCAAATAAATAAGCCTATGATATACCTTGTCACATATGAGGATCTCTTTACCCTTCAGAGCCTTTTACCGACTGAGATAGATAAGAAGGTAACACCTACCCTGGCGGTCTCCAAGGCAAAGAAGGAAACTGACATTCTAGTAAATGATGAGGAGATGTTATTAAAAATCCCTACTACAACATCATTAATATTTTAGTATGTTACAAATTACGTGGTAGAGTCATGCTGTATATTAGTAGTATAGTCGTAGCACGAATGGGTCGGCTCAACCGGGGAAGGACCACGCTCTCACAGAATACCAGCGTAAAATAGCAGCTTAACACTGCAGTGTTTCGTATAGTGAGTGTAGAGAAACGGAGACCCTTTTGCATTTTGATTCTTTATTGAGGATAGATGTGGATGTCTATGGGTCACAGCAAACACTTATCATCAGGTGGACTGTGAGCTCGTTTGTCACCCTATCCTATAAAAAAAGTGTTTGTCTGTAATATTGAAATTACTGGCTTCTATTAAGCTCAGGGCGTTATTTGCATGTTATTAAGACCTATTTCTTTTTAATTAATTTACTGTGTTGCCGGGTACATACCTGTTCATATTAGGGAAAGGCTTTTTGATAGACAAAGCGAGATAACAAATAATTTTTAATCTATAATTCGTTGACATATTTGAAGATATTGCTAGTCGAAAATGCCGCGCCGGAAACACATGCTATCAAATACTCGCAAAGAGAATGACGGCCAATTGAATATAACTATTTTTAAAATTTTTGTCTGTCTGTCAATATGTCAGTCCGAATGTCGATATTCCAGATATCGATATCCGGATATTGATTGAACCTATTGTGATGAAACTTTACCAACAGACTAATACTAGGAGGGATCTAGGCTAAATTGTATTCAAAAAACTTAAAGATTTTTTAACAAATTCATAAAATTAAAGGTTTTTGATTATCTTAAATTTAAATAATGCTAAAGATAAACTTTGTCCTCATTTGGTATTCCGGTCACATTTCAGAAGCAAGTGTTGAACAATAATTCTCCGGCTTATTGCAACTTCCACAATTAAAAGATGAGTCTGTTTACATAAAAAATAATAGTTCCTTCGTTGGAATGTTTCCAGAACTTATACTAATTGCGATCTGTACTATTCATCACTTAGTTTTACTTGCTTCAACAATGGTAAACGAAGAGGTTCACAATATATAAATAACACTTTCATTTAATAATAGCTTCTGCCCGCAGCTCTGAGCTCAGCGCAGTAAAAGGTATATTAGAATAGAATTGAATAATTGACGTAATTTAACGTTGTTTATTCTAAACTATGATCTATAAGGAAAAAATGTTTATTGTTTTTTTTTATTTAAACGTTACTTTATCAGTGAGTAACTTAAGTTTTATTATATTTTTAAAAAATAGGGATCTCTGAGGAAATTCCGATACTGTAAGCCTAGGTATTAAAAATATGCCTATAAAAGTCATTACTTGCTAAAGTAAAACATTGTACTAGATATTAATAGAACTTATCAACATTCTACAAAAAATTCCGCGAGACAAGTATCCAGCTAGTGATCCAAAAGTAATGATAAGAATTTTATCCTTTTAATAATTTAAATAAATAGATGCTTGACCTTCAACGTTTATTATTTCGTTTACGCTTCACTGTTTTTTATTTTTATTTTAAACTATAAGAACTTAAATGTCAAGAAAGTTGTTGACGATGTTTTTTGTTATAGAATACACCTTTTAAAAAAACAATAAAGGTTTTATACAATTTCATTTAAAATGGATTTTTTTTTCAATGATACAGTAACGGTAACAAATAAATAACCATTTTTACAACATTAATATTTATCGTACACAAAGCCGCATACAATTGTTAACTCGCATTAAATTGAATTAACCAAGCTTGTAGGCGCCTCGTTGTCTGCAGCTTGTACTCTAGTATGTAACGCGGTCGGCCGAGACGCACGCAACGTCGGAGAGCCCATCGCGACATTAAGTTTCGCCTAACTACGCGAATTTGTAATTACTTCAATAAAGACGCCAATAAAATGTTGACTTAGAAACAAACATTTCCTAATTACTCCAAAAGATCATTAAGTTATTGTTGTAGAGTCGCCTGTAGAGTCGAGGTGGATCAAATAAACAATCAGTTACTGAAGTATTACGAAACGTAACGGAAATGTCTAATCGGTCGTTATATTGTGATTATTTTGTGAACTTGACGGGATAATGGCGCTTTAAATGTTGTGTTGTTTTAAATTGATGTGTTAAATTAATAATCGGTAGTGTGTGGTCACCCTAACACAGCGGCGGGGATCCCGCTCTTCGTATCACGTTCAGTGCGCCCGCGCTTGTCGTCCGCGCGCGACATGAACGTCTTCAAGCAACAACACGTCGATGTATACGCTTCGGTTCACCCAATTGAAATCGTGGAACCAGACCCAGAGAATTGTCCAGCCCTCTCACTCCCCCCAGAAGGCAACGTCAAAGTCCGTAACTACCGAATGTTGAACGAAAACCTGTGCACATATTCCCCAACGGGTGATATCAACACCTCGCCGAACAAAGGGAAACTGGTGCCGAAATACGAAGTCCTCTCAACGTTGTCGCCACCGAGACAAAAAATCCTGGAGCTTCTCAGACCAGAAGACCCTGGGAGAGATACGTTAGAAGCAATAGTACGGCCCGCGCCACGACGCGGTCTTGCGCGACCATTTGATGAAGACACTAGACGATTTCTTCAACGAACCATACTGTCTCCGAGTCCACAAATATCTAACCCAGCTACACCTGAACACCATAACACTTCAGAATCTAAAGATCATGGTGTTCAAAATTCAAATGAATCAAAGGTGAAAAAGTCTGAACGTTCTCTGGCTGATGAATTAAAAGAAGCGGAAGAAGATGAAAAGTCGGGAGGTATAAAAAGAGAACTACTGCGCGAATTTAGAAAAAGAGGGGGAATCAAGGAGGCTATGGAGAGGGAGAGAATGGGCAAGTTGGCACTCTCCGTAGAAGACGACGAAGAGGACGACAGCGGTCTAACAGCAGCGGCGCGGCGTCTGGACGCGTTATTGGCAGAGTCCAGAAACCTTCACGAGGAGTTGGCGAGCATCCACGAAGACATCCAGGTGCTGGTTCGGCGAGTGGCCCGTCGCGACCAATGACGCGTTGGTACCGATCCTGGCGTCTCTGCCACTGCACACTCGTGCTTTTTCCACTTTCACCACCTAACAATCAAATCTGCTCTGTGATCAGGGTTGGATTTTGGGAAGGGCAACAGGGCCGGTACAAAATAATGTCGGAACGCACTAGAAATCGCTCCTTTTTCAAAGTAGAAATTATTTCAAGTTATTTTTAGTCTTTTAAAATAATTTAGGTTCACGTTGTTGCCCATGAACCTTTAAATTTAAATCTGACCCTGCTCGTTCTTTAATTTATTCTTTAATGCTTGTGGATCGCATAATATTATTACACTTAATATAATATTTTAAATACACTTCCTTATATAGCCAATATATACGTGCAATTCTTGCCAGAATTTCTTCAAGTTTATGTAGCGTGACGTGCGTGATTCTCGTGCTCAAGTTAGGATTTGTGTTTTTGTCTGCACACTAAATAGTTTATGAATCCATTGTGCGTGAAGAGCTAATGAGTGTTGTGATACGTGGGTTAAGTTTGCAACGATGGAATTAAGAGCTTAAAATATACAAAGGTAGGTGTTATACACAAAAAACCTCGACGCACCCTCTGGTTTTTTTTTAGAGCATAGGGTGACAAACGAGCACACAGTCCACCTGATGGTAAGTGGTTGCTGTGACCCATAGACATCTACATCTATCCTCAATAAAGAATCAAAATTCAGATGCGTTGTCACCCGTCAGGACTAAGATGAAATGCCTCTTTTCTAGTACAAAGGGTATCCGGTTCTCTACACTCACCATACAAAACACAGCAGTGTTAAGCTGCTATTTTACGCTGGTAGTCTGTGAGAGTGTGGTCCTTCCACGTCGAGCCGACCCATTCGTGCTGCAAATATACTACCATTATAGCTGCAGCATGGTTCTACCACGTATAAAATTGTTAGTACGCTAAACTAGATAATATCCTTAAAATTTTTACACTAATGGCCAAATACTCAAATGCTCCTCAATTTTAAGATGTCGTTAACTCTCGTGGGGTCGCGGTCACTTTGACTTAAAGTGATAGAGATAGCACAAGACTTAACGGCATCTTAAAATTGAGCAGCGATTGAGTATTTGGACATTGGTTTTTACAAGAATGGTACTGTCCAATTTTTGGACCGGTATAACAGCAATTACTTCCTTATACACTGAAATTTAAAACTGATAAAATGTTGGCGTGAAAATCCATCAATCTATGACGTAAGAGGCGATGGGAAATGGCACCTATCGGAAGCCATAGGATCTATCATTGTACTTGTTAGAGCTATACTGCATCTGTATTATGGTTATATCACGAATGAGTTTGCTCGATCAAGGAAGGTCCACGTTCTTAGAGAACACCAGCGTAAAATAGCAGGTTTATGTTGCTGTGTTTCGTATCGCATTCAATCTTTGTCTTCAGGGGTGTATGTGATTTAAATGTCTATGGGCCACAGCAACCGCTTACCGTCTGGTGGATATGGCATATTTATGGCTTAATTTGGCCCTAATTATCATGAGCCTTGCTAGCTCAAGAGATAAGCTCTTGCTTAATCGATTTCTACCGGTACCAATTAAATTTCTAACTGCAAATTTAATTACTGATTTACCGTAAAAGTTTAGAAAAAACCTCGTTAGAGATCCTACATATTTGCAGGATCTCTCACGATGCTATATTATGCTACTATATTAAATAATATTTTGAGGAGGTAAAATCTGCCAACACGCATTAGGGTTGCGCGGGGTTTCCTTCCGAATATAAGAGGTTGACTCTTTTAGTAGCGGGACGTATATACAGGTTGCTTCTTTACTTTTGCTTTTTGGAGCTGCAAGTATGTGCATAACACTGACCTGCACTACCTCATCTTCAAACACTTCGACGGCTTTGTATTACACTGTCTAACCATTCGGTTACGATGCTACGGGCCGCGGATTCGTATACTTGTTTTGTGCGGTATAATTATCTTTGGATTAAAGAGCATGGATTGCCACATGGCAAGCAAGCATGGTAAGATAGTTCAACAACTTGCCTGTTCGCGACAAAAGCGCAGTAGTTGAACAATCGAAATGTTCATATATGATTCATGGAACAGTGAAATGTTTCAGATAAGGTTTTGTTTTGTCATAAATAGATTAGAGAGTGACACCTACTCATACGGACTCCACTTTTACGTGACAGTTAGTGACAGACAGACTGCAGTACAACCAGAGTAATTGACATATCCGATTTGCGACACGAATAGATTGGCATTGCCATACCCTTTTTTTTGTTGGATCTCTTCGTGTGCACTCACAACTTAAGTACCTACCAAATTTTCGTCATTATCGGGTGAATGTCATTAGGAACGCATAGAATATGAACAAACAAACAAATATTTACTTCTTATATATGATAATAATTAATAATGTTCCTTTCAATGTGTTATTATTACTTGTGTACATTTTTGCGCGTTATCTAATCATTGGCTGCTGCTATAGCAATAAAGTTTGAACTAAGATTCCTTGACAGTAGACAAATGATGAAGCTCATAGATATTAATTTATTCTCGATTAAGGATTAAAATCCAGATAAGTTGTCATCAGAACTAAGATCGAATGCCTCGTTACCAGTAAAACGGGTCTCCGGTTCTCCACACTCACCATACGAAACACAGCAGCATTGTTCTGCTATGTTTCGCATAGTTTCTGTGCGAGCATGATTTCACCATTATCCACCACAAACAAAAATATTTTAACAACTTACACTTGATGAATGTGTTTTCGGATAATGTGTTGATAACGACGAGCATTATTATTTATTACTTATGAATCACAGCGAATGTTGCTCTGCAACAACGGTACTGTGATAAGCAAAGTCATTAACGTAATAAATTAATTCTGTATGTAAAGTTTTATAAGGTGTTGTTTTTGTATTTTTACTTTATAAGGATTATAAACATCATTTCAATTTCTTTTTATAAACAGTTAGTAGTTGATTTTTAATATCTTTTTAAGCTTTTGCTATTGATGACGTCAGAGAGTAGACTCCACTAAATCACCGATTATAAACAAATAACTTCTTCTATCTGCCACCTTTTAACCCACGACGCAATGTTTAATTTAAAAGCAGGTGTTATAACAACGGTGGTTCTTAGACATGTGTTATCAAAAACGGTTGAACCGTTTCTAGGTCATCAGCTGTTTTGTTAGCTGCGGTGAGGTTCTTTTCGGGGATTTTTAAAATTTTTAATTTAAGTTATGGCCATTCACATCTAGTAAAGTTGAGGATCAGAGAAGTTCTAGTTCTAAGTTCTCTAATAGAACTTCTCTGATCCTAAAAAATTGTTAGATGTTCTCACATTAAGTCCGGGCTTAATGAGGGAACATTTAACCATTTTCTTTTTTGCTTAATTTTACCCAAACTTAAATTCTTCTTATATAATTATCTCCCTTTAACAATCGCCCGCCCTAATAATATAGTATGTCTGCTATCATTAGTATGTATGTATTTTATAAATGTTTTGTTTGATGTTTACATACTTATAACTTTAAATACGTCTAACATAGGTGACGGATCATTAATAGAATTTACCGCGACTTTGCGGAAATCCACTATATTGAAGTAGTTATAACTTCAGTTCTGGAATTTATGTTACGGATTTGTTTTTTTGTTTTAGATTTGAAATTTCCAGTCAAAAAGTGTTAAACCAATTTAAGTAAACAATAACTTTACTGTCGCTTCAATAACAATATTATACGTGGTAGAGCCATGCTGCAGCTATATTAGTAGTATAGTTGTAGCACGAATGGGTCCGCTCGACCGGGGAAGGACCAATTTCTCACAGAATACCAGCGTAAAATAGCAACTTAACGCTGCTGTGTTTCGTATGGTGAGTGTAGAGAACCGGAGACCCTTTTTACTGGAAACGAGGCATTCCATCTTAGTCCTCACGTGTGACAACGCGTCTGCATTTTGATTCGTAATCAAGGATAGATGTAGATGTCTATGGGCCACTGCAACCACTTACTATCAGGTGGACTGTGTGCTGGCTTGTCACCCTTATCCTATAAAAAAAACTGACATGACACTTTTTAGAGTAGCCAAAAAATAAGAAGAAGAAGAGAGTAACAGTGTTATGTGGTTAATATACTTTCTGACTTTAACCAAAACAAACATTGTTATTCCTTTATTATGATTTGATGATAATTTCGATCAAATAGCAAATGAGTATGTGAAAAACGGTTGATTTACAACATTGTGTTATAAAATCACTGTACCGTGGCGTAAATTACTTTGTATTAATTGACGAAGTAACCTCGCACCCAAACTGTTTGATAATTAAAATAAATAGAAACTTAGAAAATCTGTCTCTCGTAACATAGCAATTTTTAATGCATGAGTATTGCAAATCAGTCAAATTAAAAAAAAAAACATGTGTGCTGTTCACACTCGACTAAACTTCGGGAGAATGAGACGAATGCATAGGAGTAGGATACTGGTAGATCTTATTTATTACAATATAGTTACCAAGTTGAAAAATTATTTTATACATTATACATATATTATTTTTTATTTTCTGCCGACTTCCAAAAAGGAGACTGTACTCAATACGACTGTATATTTTTTATGTGTGTTACCTCATAACTTTTTACTGGGTGGACCGATTTCGATGATTCTTTTTTTATATGAAAGCTGATACTTCTCGTGTGGTCCCATATGAATTTGATCAAGGTTAGACCAATAGTTTTTGAGTTATTTGAGTTATTCTTAACAACTTATATTGAAGTCGGCTGTACAAAATTTTTAATTTTAAATTATTTTTATTGTGTAGTATCGTGTTAGTATAGTGTTAGTATCGCTTATTCGTTTCATCGAGTTTCAAAACACAACGATTCTAAAAATGTTTTCCCTTCAAAAGTATATAATCGTATTATTTTATAAACGAAACCTTCATCAAATCAACTCCTTTACTTTTCTGTCGACTTCA